CGTTTAGAAAAGGAATTACAGTGTAAGCGAGTAAAGGGAAGGGGAGAGGGGGGGGGGGGGTCCTAGGTTTGTTTATAATACGGATCACATCAATGCAATACCCGGTATGACACTCCTCAAAGAGGGGCTATACGTGATATTAATGCACCGGTCATCATATCCATATCTACCCTTTCCCGCCTCGTGAAGGTAATTAAAGCGTAGGTTGGTCTCGATCCCTATTGTATGCTGTTACCCGTCCCTTCCTATCAGTCCCGGAGGAATTTAGGACTCCTATCCTATAAGAGGGGGGGTTCTAGGCAGACCCTCAGGTTTAAAGGTAAAATACTAGGCGACATACAAGAACACATATGATTGCATTTAAAGGGGAAAACACAGTAAAACAAATAGAAGGCCCATACACACCTCCACAAGTAATGCACATAAACAGCATGACTCATACACAGATAGAGTCTGAATTCAAAATTCTAAAGCATGGTATCTGAGTGACAACAACAGAATTAGATTTATTACATGACTCAAATAAGAAGTCCGAATCATGCTTGCCTGCTGATTTAAACAGCTAATAATTAAGCAAGGACAATTCTATTTTATTTAAGCAATTTACCTAAGGCTTGCCTAGGCGTAAAGTAATGTGCAGCAGTTACTCCGAGTTATTAAAATAGTTTGGAGATTGTGTTTACCTAAAGAGCATGTTGTTCCAGTAGATACAAATGCAAAGATTATTACCAGTTATTTTAAACAGGATAATCAAATGTGAAGTTGTTCTTACCTCTTTTATAATCAGCAGTTTACACTAAGTGTGAATGCAAGTACGAACGAGATCCTAAAATATGGTATCTAAGTTGCATGTATAAAACTCATGATGCAGAATTCCTAGAGCAGGATTTCTAAATGCACATGACAGGATTGCAGAATTTCCTAAGAGCGGGATTTCTAAATGAAATTTCAGAACATGGGCATAATCGCATTCGTAGCAGCTTATTTTATTGTTATTATATACCCTATAGACATGATTTCTAAGTGTGGATGAGATGCTGAAAACAGTACATACAAATCCTAAATAGCATGATATCTAATGCATGGCATGCTTGGCAAGTTATACCTAAACATGGCTGCTATTGCGCATAGAGAAAAATAAACCTAGGAACATGATTTCTACCCTGGATTATACTACAACATGCATATTACCCACCCCTTTTCATTATCCAACCCCAATACTTGTTTACAAATTATTACAGACCAAGTGAATGAATTACATAAGTAGAAATGAAAATAAGAAGTTGCACTATAGGAAGCCCGATTAGGACTTTCTCCCTGAGTTATGTAATAAACCACTTCAAGTGCCAAGGTTTTTCCATAGCCTTTTCATATCTAGGTGTGTCAGAGTTCCCTAAAGACCTTAAGGGATCTCGGGCAGTGCTCACATCCAGATTTCGTAGCCAAGACAGAGTTTAGTGCAGTGTGGAAAGGCCAGCTTTCATGTGTCCAAGTTCAAAGGGAGCTCAAGAGTCCCAAGGCAAGGTTCACACAAAAGGAGCAGAACCTAGTGATCTAAGAGTATATGTGAGAGTGCAGAAGACATGTATGAAAGGAGTTTGTTTAAAAACTGGATTGAAAGGTCCATTTTGAAAGCAATTAGTAACAGAAATGGTTGAAAGAAGTTGTAGTAAACAAAACTCAAACGCCTTAAGATTTATCACAAACAGAACCCAAATGACTTCAGTGGTCACACAGGGGGTCAAGGGATTTGGGGATACACAAACACATAACCCCAGCAAGGGTCTTATGACTAGTTTGGACATGCTCAGCAATGGTTGATACTGGCATAGTCACGAACCAGTCACAAACACATGGAATGAATAGGGATTTGGGATTCATAAGATGGTAAGCACATAGTAAGTGATTAACAAGGCGTGCTTTGAAACACACATAAGGGAATGCATTAATCTAAAGGGAAGGGGAGACATAATAGCATGCTAGTAATGTAACTCAACTACAGGCTTCACAACAGAACCACAAGTAGAAGCAGACCAGAAATAAGAGAAACTGAAACAATAAGAGAAGCACGTTGTTGTTGAGGCCTTAAAATTAAACTAGGACATACCAGTTAAGGAAGCAAAGTGCAGAAAGGTAAAGCAAGTAGAGTTCCACAGTCTAGCCTTGGCTTTCAGCCGGCTAGACAAGTAGTTAACACAAGTTGTAGAGAAAAAAGAGAGAGCTTGAGTGTGTGTGTATTCTGAACTGTTGTTCGGCTGTTAAGACTGTAGAAAAGAGTCATTTATATAGTAGTTTGAAAACTGGTTCAAATAAGGCAAGAATCAATTTTTCAGTAATTATAGAACTCAGCATAGAAAATTGGTTCGAATGGAGTCAGTGTGAATGGTAAAATGCATGTGACAAATAAGGAAAGAAATAATACCCGGCTGGAGTAAACAAATAAGGAAAAATTTAAAAAATAGTACCAGTATAGAGCAGGTAAGTAAGGCTAGGTTGAGAAAGTTTTCAAACTAAGGAGACAATCAGTAGTAATTTAAGGTAAGAAAATAATCAAATTAAGTGGAAAGGTAGGGGTTGAGATTCAGTAGCATAAAGTAGGACCAAATTCATAAAGCCCTAATTAAGGGCACAACTTAGTAGAAAAAATAAGTATCATAGCAAAATAGGGTAAGGAAATCAGTTAGCTTAACAGACGGGGCAAAACTTTTAGGATTTTTGAAAGAAGATTTTCAACCACCATCGATTAAGGAAAATAGACTTGATCAAATGGGAGTCATGATTCTATACTTTCAACATACAAATAGAGGAGGTTCACAGATGTAGCAAGAAAACATATTTGAAGCATGGTCACATAAAGAAGCAAAAGATGAACAAACAAAGTGAGCATAGTCATACAAAAGAGACATAAGTAGGCTAGGGATTCGGGAAAACATATTCGAAGCAGAGTAATCGCAGGACTCAAGTAAGCAGGCTAACACACAGACATGAAGTAAAGAAAGCATGCTAATACTCAGAGAAGAGGAGTAAGGACAATCATAGAAACAAAGTAAAGAAAAGATCTTAAAAAAAGGGCTTTTAATAGAGTCAAGTTAAAAGCAGTAAGAGCACAAAATCGGTCAAGACAAACAAGGGAAAGGGTTCAAACATAACGAAATCAGTTAAACATGCGTAAAAGGACTCTGAGAAACTCTAGCTTTAGAAAAGAATGACTAAAATCGAAATAGTTAGTTAAAACTGGAGATTTTTGAAGAAAAATGTGTAATAATACTCGAATCTCCTCATATCTAGAAGGATCCGAGAAGAATCGAACAATAGCGACTCTAGGGTTTCGGAAAATAGTAAAGCTGAAGAAAATCAGTTAAAAACTCATGGATATACTTAGATTTAAGACAGATCTAAACAAAAGTGAAAAGTTTTGAAGAGTTAGGGTTTCAGAGAACCCAGAGAAGGTGAGAAAACCTTAGAACGTTACCGGTTTTAGCCGGAAAAGTCAGGGATCTGACTCGAACAACCATGGATGACCGGAAAATGGTATGAAAGACCATGTATTGGCTCTTAGAGGGTTTTGAACCAGATCTGGACTGGATCTCTCCGAGATCCCTCCATGAAATCACAAAAACAAGCAACCAGGAGACGTAGGAGACAAGTATATGTCCCGAACAGCCGTGGGAATCTATGGATCGA